GTCTGAGTGAGTACAATTAAAGTTGCAACAAGCTTAGATATTAGAATTACCTATCAGGATAATATTTACTTTGTATGTGTACATACACTTAATTTTTAATGTTCACTTTATATATATTAGCATTTTCATATATAATTTAAATATGAATAAAAGATTTTTTGATTTATTGAAAGTATAAAGAGGAAGATCAAAAGGGCAAATTTGAAAAATAGAAAGAGGGTGTTCTGAAAATTAAAAGTCACAAAAATGAAACAAATGAGTCAAGTGGCACAGTCAGACCACAGCTGAAGAGTGATTAAGTTTACTGAAAAAACAAACTAAGGAAATTAGGGCCTCCTGGTGGTATACCTGATTAAGTCTCAGCACTATCAAGATACGTATGGCCAGCCACTGTACAAAAGTTCAATCCCTGGCCAGGTTGCTAACCCACATGGCACAGCAGACCGCTCCTGTCTTGCTCGCTGCTCCCCTCAGCAGTGGATTTCAGTAGATCTGCCTGTTCTGCTCTCCACTCAGACTCTGGTGAATCCTCTCACCCCCTGTACCTCTGGCCTACACCCCAGCTCTTGTATGCATAAATAAAAAAGAAATCTTAAAAAAAAAAAAGGGAAATTACCCAGAATACATATAGAACAAGAGAGACAATATATAAAGAAGGAAAGTGATATGGAGTATAGAATAAGAAAATTCTATTTTGAATTACAAAAGTGAAGTAACATAACTTAGCACAGTTACAAAACACCAAAGACAAGATCTGAAATTAACCACAAAAAAAAGGTAAAAATAGATTTTAAAAAAGGCATAAAATACTCATGACAGAAATAAAAGAAAAATATCTTATAATCTAGAATATTACATATACAGGGAGGATATAAGACAATAAAAAATTTTTCAATAAGACACCCTTAATAAGAGAACTAGTTGAGGATGTGTATACCTTGAAAAAGACAATGCACACTCAGAAGGGACACAGCATATGCAAACAAATGAGGAAAAGAAATTAGTTTAAAATGTCTGCTTAGGTTTTAATGACATGAAGGTATACAAACAGATGTAATATGCTTAGCAATGGATTATGTATGTATATATGAGTAAAATTGGAGAAATATTTTCTCTAGTTAGGAAGTATAAATTTTTATTAAAATTTCATTTAAGAAAATTTCCTGACTAAAAATATTGTATTAAGTTAGGTACTAATATTGGATGAAAATATTGCCTCCAAATGAGCAACAGACCAATGAAACAGAAATGAAATTAGAAAAGCCACATTTGATCAACTAATTTCTGGCAAAGATGTATTACATACCTGAAAGTTGATAAGAGAGGTATGAAAAGTCCCACAAAAAAAATTTTTTTTCTAGTTATGTATGCTGACATATGCTAACCAGGCTTACTAGTGATCATTTCTCATATATACAATATGAAATCACTGTGCTATATAACCCAAAACTAATATAATGTTATATGTCAACCATTCTGCTATTAAAAAATAAAACAAAAACAAAAAAGACTGCCAAAAGTATTTAGTTTTCCATTAGTAGAAGAAACTCACACTAGTAGCTTTTGTTAGTCAAACCTATGGACTAACAATATTTAACGAAAATTCATAAAAACTTATGGTTTAGGGCCTCCCTGGTGGCACAGCGGGTTGAGCTCAGTGCTGGAAAGCTTTCCACAGCCTCTGCAGCACGGGTTCGATTCCCAGCCGGCCAGGGAGAAACCCACATGGCGTTGTAAACCTCTCCAGCTTCACCTGCGGCACCCCCTCAGCAGTGTATTTCGGTCTGTCCTTCTGCCAGTTCTGCACCCTGCTCTGTCTCTGGTGAATCCTCTCACCCTCCTATGCCTCTGGCTTGTACCCCAGTTCTTGTATAAAAATAAATAAATCTTTAAAAAAAAAAAACTTATGGTTTAGTATATAACTCACTTTCAATAAAATTTTTTTTGAGAAAGAATTTTTTTTTTTTAAAAAGATTTATTTATTTATTTATTTGTTTATACAAGCACTGGGTACAGTCAGAAGCGCGGGAGGGTGAGAGAATTCACTAGAGCCAGAGCGGGGAAGAGAACAGGCAGACCGACAAAATACACTGCTGAGGGGAGTAGGGGCACAGCAGGAGAGGTCTGTGCGCCATGTGGGGCCCTCCCCACAGCTGGGGATTGAACCAGCGCTGCAGAGGCTGCGGGCAGCTTTGCAGCCCAGCACTCAACAGCTGCGCCACTGGGCAGGCCCACTTTTCAAAAAATTTTATACATCATATAGTCAACTAGTTATTTATTATTTTTTTTTTTATTATTTTTTTTTTTTTATAGAGGCATGTTTTTATTTATTTGTTTGTTTGTTTTTTGTTTATACATGCACTGGGCACAGTCAGAAGAGCGGGAGGGTGAGAGAATTCACCAGAGCCAGAGCGGGGAGCAGAGCAGGCAGAAGGACTGAAGTACACTGCTGAGGGGAGCAGCGGGCGGCAGGAGGGTCTGCGCGCCATGTGGGACCCTCCTCCGGTGGCCGAGGAGCAGCCGGGGATCGAACCAGCCCGCAGAGGCCGTGGGCAGCTTCGCAACCCAGCGCTCAACCGCTGCGCCACCGGGAGGCCCTAGTCAACTAGTTTAATTTCATGATTCTTTAACTAAAATAGCAGTCAAAAAAATCTTATTACTTAAGAGATACTTTGCCAAACAAGTGTCTTCTAAATCAAATTTATAAGATATTTCAAAATCCAAATTTTTACTGCAAATTGCTTTTTATTACTTAACTTATTAATCAAATAGCATTCATTTCTGTTAAAAATCTGTGGTGTTTGGGAGTCATTTAGGAAACAAAGGGGACAGACTAAGAAAATTTAGATGAAGGAAAATAGAAAATTCAATGTGGTGTTAGATAAAGTAATCAAACATGAAAGTACAGGATTAGCTTATAAACGTATTAATAGATTATAAATAAGCTGGAAAAAGTCAGAAAATAAGCTAGAAACATTTGTCAAGGCCTGCTGTTGCTTAATTGAAATTCATTATTCTTTTTTTAAGTCTATATTCCCAGATATTTTCCTTTATATTAACAGCTATTAATCTTTTCAGAGTCATATGTACACCTGAGGAATTCATGTAAGTCTGTATCCTCATTCTTTCTTGAATTGCATAGTTTCAGAATGTACATAAAAACAAAACTTCCTGAAACTCACGCTTAGAGTCCAGTTTAAGTTCAACTTTGCTTTGTTACAGGTTTATCATTCTTAGAAATCAATACATAGTAAGAACTTCATTTTTTGTTCATTAGCTATCCTAAAACATTTTTTTAAAGATTTATTTTATTTATGTATACAAGAACTGGGGTACAGACCAGAGATGTGGGTGGTGAGAGGATTCACCAGAGACAGAGTGGGAAACAAAACAGGCAGATCTACTGAATACACTGCTGAGGAGAACAGCAGGCGAGCCAGGAGAGGTCTGCTGTGCCATGTGGGTAGCTCCCTGGCCGGGGATCAAACTCATGCTGCAATGGCTGCGAATAGCCCCACAGATTGTGTCTCAATCCCTTGAGCCATCAGGGAGGTCCTCTAAAACATTTTTTACTTGACTTACTCCCAACTTTTAAATAGCTACCTTTATGTATTATGCTAAAGATAAAGTATGGATAGTATCATATGTATGTATACACACACACACACACACACACACACACACACACACACATATAATGAGCAACTACAACTCCTTGGGCCCTTGGCTGCATGTAACCTAATGGACATTTCATGTGAATTACCTTAACGAAATCTCTATCAGTCTTCTCCTTCCATTCTTCTCCAAATACAGTAGAAAAGGATCCTAAAGCTAAAAGAATAAATAGGATATTCAGTAAAATGGAATTATTTCTTTCACTTGGTTCCTTAAGTAGGGAGGTTTGCAAAAAAAAGTAAAAACGCATTTTAAGCTATCTTGTTCACTACAGATTGTTTTGCAGTGATGACAATTTTCATAATTACATAGACAACAGGAAAAAGAAAGGAGTAACAATTAGTATTGTACATTAGCTTTCATTTGTGGAGGAGAAAAAAAATATTTTTTACTTTTTAGATGTTCAGGTTTTCTTGTTATAATTTTAGGTTTTTATTTGGATAAAACTATAATAAGGATGATTTATTTATCTTGATTTATGCAGAGTAGTCCTAGTACCAAAAAATTTCACAAGCTCCCAATTGCATTTTTTTAATAGAATTGTGTCTTGGAAAATAGTGAAGGAAGTTGATCATCCCTGGAATAAATCCCAATATGCATTTAATTTCTTGATTGCCATGAGGTAATGAGTCTGAAGTAGATGAGAGCAATCTGCATGTAAGAAGGACAAACCACCAGTCTTAGTAGTGGAGCACAACATCTATGTGGACATCAAGAGAAGTCTTGCTGCAGGGTTGATGTGAAAGCCCCCTAAACTGGTTCAATTTCTTTGTAATTAATGATCATTCAGGCCAGTGCCATCAAGACAGAGTTTAGAGGAGAAAAATATTAAAAAGTAAGGATTTTTACTTTTTGTGGTAGGCCCCAGTCATTGCTGTCAAAAAGGACAAGTTCATGAAACCTGGAAGGAGTTGCTGGTCCTGCATATATGCTATTCCAGATATAAGAGGCCATCATGGAGAACATACAGCCTGTTCTGGGGGCTGGAACTGACCACTATTCCCACAAAGTGACAGTCAAAATGGGCAAGAAGAAAATCGTCAAAGTCAAAGATCACTAAGTCTTTTGAGAAAGTTTGAAACTACAATCACCTCATGTCCAGAAGGACTCTGTGGACAGTCCTTTGAACAAAAATGTCAATAAGAATGTCAGTAAGAGCCTGCTCTTAAACATACCATCAAACGAGAGACCATGGTCAAGAAGAGTGGCAAGAACAAAAGATACTTTTGGAAGCCATGATTTCAGATTTGATTCAATTATTCAGTATACAAAAAATAAGAAGTCAAATTGACGTTATTATTATCATATTGCCAGGCTGTTATAATTTGAAATCTTTAATTTTAAAAAGTCTCATTTAATTCACGTTTCAAATAATATGGGACAGGTAATTTTTTGGAAATATCACATAAACACAATATCCTTTAAGGAATATGCTCAGCCTATACCTTATTTGCATTTATTAATGAAGTTATTTTAAGAGAAGAGTAAATCTTTCTATTTTCAAAAGCTGCTTCTTTATAATACCATGTCCCCACTCTTCCCCAGCAATGGTTAGTGCATATAGTTACATGTGATATCACTGTTTGCTCCTTTATGTAGGTAGGTCATGGTGTCAGCTGTAGGACCAGACAGTAAAGCAGTATAATACAAAGACAGGGCACAATATGCATTTCTCTTTAAAAACTACGTAAGTGTCTTCATCAACTATCAGATGAATCTGTAATAGAAACTATTACTTTTTGAATGCATAAAGGAAACTATATAGAGTCAATTCTAAACAGGATTTATGAATATAATTTTTTATAAAAACAAGACTCCTTAATGGATGTGTTGTGACAAGCACAACAAATGGCTATATCTTCTATTCTAAAAGATTTATTGACAATTTCAGTCTTATTATATATTTAAGTACAGATCTAATACTTACTTAGTACTCAGAAAAATAAAGTTTTAATTGTTTGGTTAGAGTAAGAAATTTCATTGGAAAAATATTAAAAAGGGTAAGGAATAAGAAAATTTTTAACATGCTAATACATTTCAATAATGGGATCAAGGAGAACTGATACAATTGATAAAATTAGGGTCAAAATGAAATGACAAAGAATAAATGTGAAAATTTTAACTAAAAACATTAATATGAAAGATAACTATTTGATTATAAATAATCAAACATATATAAGTAGCCTTTTAATCAGACAAATGAAGAGCACACACTACTGAAGAGACAAGGTTTTTGTTTGGCCTGAAAAACCTTATCTAGAAAATTATCACTGGAAAAGAATACTAGATGGAAATATAAGGTGGAAATTAATTTTTGTCACATGAAATTTTATTACACATCCTTAAACATGCAATATGTATAAACAATCCTCACTTTCTAAAAGAAATGTCATCTACAGTTATCTCTCAATTAAAATTACATATCCTAAAATAAATAAATCAAGACCTCTTCAAAAATCAGTTATAGCCACAAACCTCAAACACAGAAAGAATTATTTTCATAATAAAAAGCTATTGCTATATGGGGTCTTCATAATGTCCCTGCTTACCCTGGAATTCTATACTACATTTGGAACCATAAACTTCTTTACATAGCAATGGCTAAATTATTATTATTTATTTAGATTGCTACACTGCATGATAATCTAGTCTTTTAAATAAATAAAAGCTCCTAAAGAATACATGAAGATAAAATACATGTGATCTAAAGAATGACATGCTTCCAGTGTACCAAAACTGTTAAGATTACATCTATCATACAGACACAAGTTAATCTTATTCAACAACTAAAGACTTCACTAAAATTATTTTGATTTGAGAAAATCCTTTCTAAAATTTCATATTAAGATTCCTAAAACATGCAAAACACTTAAACTCCATTCTAAATTAAATGCCAAAGAACGTCTTTGAAAATGCAAAATAAAATATTAGGAACCAAAAGACATGAAAATGAGATGGAGATCCACAAAATTAAGATCCTCAAAGTTTCAATATAAATGTATACAAGCTAGGCTTTGCTGCTTCCCATGTACCAAGAGTAGTTTCAGGCAGGGTAAGAAACTCATTTTTACTTTTGTTCAATTTCAAGATTGTCGTAAAATAAGTACATGTCAAATTTTAAGGAATCCTATGTAGAAAATTCCAAATCAAAATATATTTTAAAAGTATAATATGGCCACAAATCAAATTGCAAAAAAGAACTCATTAGCAAACAAGTTGCTATTTAAAGATTTTAAAAAATTAAAATTCTCAACACTATCTCCACTGTGCAATAATAAGAGTTTATAAATGATATGATGAAATAATTCAATATGTGTCAACACCCTATGAGTTAACAGGACATAGTTCTCACAAAAGAAATTAAAAGGGTGTTAGGGTAAAAGGAATATGGAGTTGAGAAGCACAAAAAAATTTACTATCAACAATACAGTCAACACAGATATTTAAAAAAAATATGTGTAGGAGGGATGTGAAAAATCTCAATTACACTACAGTAGAACAGTTTAGTCTGAAGGGTAACCTATATTTAATATAAAATAATTTTACAGAAAATAAAGAATTTTATTAATAAAACCCGCAACTAGCAAACCCTACAAGTAAAAGGATACGAAATAGTTGATAGGTCTTATTTTGAGTATTCAGGCAGCAAATTTCAAATGCATACCTTAAACTATTTAACTAAAAATTATTACCACAACCACCAGAAAAATACTTCAGAAAAAAACTCTTTTCAGGCCTGAATTTGAAACATTTGAAATCCTGTTCATATGTTTAAGGTTAAAAAAAAATCCAAGCATTATCTAACATTTAACAAAAATAAAAGCAAATAAAGAATGCTAGTTACTAATAAAAAGTGTTTTTTTCTTAAAAACCTTTTAAAAACTTTATAACACCTTTACAAAATAATCAAACAATATGTTTAGCTTAAAACTTACTGTCATCAAACACCCCAGCATTAGCAAGTAATAAAGTGATGATTTTAGGGTCTTTTTCAAGTTGCATGACATGTTTGCTTTCATTTGATAGGAGAGTGCACACATTAATAGCAAAGTCCACTTCATTTGGGAGTCCAGATAACAGTGAAAGCACCAGTTTATTATAATCATTTGGCGAATTGAAGTCCATAGATAGCCCATAACTTTGACGCAGATAATCTAAGAAAGATAAAAACAAAAGCAGCTTCAGTATATTAAATGCATCATGTGTTATGGTTAAGATCTTCTGAATTCAGGGGCCTCCCTGGTGGCACAAAGGTTTCAGACCTATCTATGAAGTTATCCACAGCCACTGCAGCAGGAGTTCGATCCCGGGCCAGGGAGCTACCCACATGGCACAGCAGCAGACCTCTCCTGGCTCACCTGCTGTTTTTCTGTTCCCCACTCTGTCTCTGGTGAATCCTCTTACCCCCCACACCTCTGGCCTGTACCCCAGTTCTTGTATGCATAAATAAATAAATCTTAAAAAAAAAAGTTCTTCTGAATTCAGTACAGAAGCCTATTTTCTTTCATAAAATAGAAACTAAGTAGAAGTTTAAAAAGCTCAGTTTTCTAAACTTCAGTTAAATTTATATTATTTAAAGACCATTATTAAAATACAAAAATGTACATACTCTGTTGGATGTCACTGTCAAAATATTACTGTACAAGTAGATAAAATAATCTACATTTTTACTCTTGCATTTCAAGGGGCTCATTCTGATTTAATATACTGTCATCCAGGGACTGTATCCTTGAAATTTCTAATTTGGGGACAAACTAGCCTACCTTTTTAGCTAGCAATAGGAGAATTATTACATTTTTAGGTCAGATATACTGCTATATAACTAACATAGTAAAATTTACACTTTTTAGTTCTATAATTCTTTTAACCACAATCACAACTAAGAGTTTCTTCATGCTTCTTTGTAGTCAAGTCCCTCATTTACCCACAACCACTGATCTAATTCTGTTCTGATAGCTTTCTTTTATTTCAAAATGCCAAATAAGTAGAACTATATAGTATGTAGTTGATTTGATTTCTTCCATTTAGCAAAATGCTTTTGAAGTGAATATCCATGCGGATGCACACTTTATTGCTATTGTATGGATATAAAGCAGTTTCTCCATTCCCTAGTCGGAAGACATTTGGATGGTTTCGTTTGATTATAAACATGTTTCCATTTGTTATAAACATTCACATACAGGACTTTGTGCAGATAGGTGCTTTCATTTCTCTTAGATTGCTGGGTCATAGTTTATTAACTTGTGAGAAACTAACATCCCCAGTAGATGTTAATATCTTGCATTTCCACAAGCAATGTACAGAGAGAGTGTTCTTGTTGCTCTGTATTCTTGCTAGCACTTAATATTGTCAATTCTGATTCACTTATCTAATACCTGTATTGTAAATATTTTCTCTTAGTAACTTGTCTTTTCATTTCTTAACAGAGCAAAAGTTTTCATTTTGAGTAAGTCTGATTAATAAAATTTTCCATTTATGGTCAGGTAACTAAAGTTTTCTGTAGGAGAATTAATTTAGAAGACTTGAAACTTTGAAGGAAGGAAAGACAGGCTTACAGATTATAGATTATATAATATATACTTATAAGAAAATGCTGTTATTTGCAGAAATACTGACTCTTTAATTTTGGTGCAGGTAGGGCTTGGCAATTATATTCTGAGACATAGGCCCCCAATATATTTTCAAATAAAATTTAACTAGTTTATTTTTTTCTTTTTAAGATTTATTTATTTATTTATACAAGCACTGGGTACAGTCAGAAGCATGGGAGGGTGAGAGGATTCACCAGAGCCAGAGTGGGGAACAGAACAGGCAGACTGACAAAATACACTACTGAGGGGAGCAGCTGGCGGGGCAGGAGAGGTCTGTGCACCATGTGGGACCCTTGCTGGCGGCCGGGGATTGAACCGGCGCTGCAGAGGTTGCAGGCAGCTTCGCAGCCAGCGCTTAACCACTGCGTCACCAGGGGAGGCCCTTAACTAGTTTAAATAGAAGAGGCAAGAAAACAAAGAATATTTCTAGATGAAGTATTTCAGACATATATGGACTTAAAAACTTTTCCCCCAAAAACTCACTAAAGAGAACATTAATAGGAATTTTACTGTCAAAACATGCTACAGAGGAAAAAGAGGAAAATCATGTAAATAAGAAAAGTCTTCATTTCACAATGTAGACATTTAAGGACACATCTCTGCAGTTAAAAAACATTCTAGCACTTTCTTCAATAATATAATGGTCAATACAGATTTTCCACAATATTTAAGTTCAATAATGTTTATTTTTTGTAATCTTAGTAAGTGAAAATTTCTCATAAATAACATAATTAAATATCTGGAGAAAAAGTAACAAATCTTCTGGGAATATAGGCAAAGACTGTGATATTTCTATACTGCACTCTGGAATCGGTGATGGGAAGTCAAGTCTCAACAACGGTTAGCATCTATTGTAATATTCTGTTGTTCTCAGATAAACTGGAAGAGAAAAAAAAATCGGAACCCACTTTCAACATTTTTCAGAGTTTTGTATATATGCTTTAAGTATGATCTAAGAATTGTTCTGTTTTCTACTAAAGAATGACAGATGCCATCAGCTACTAAGTTCAATAAAGCCTTACCTGACTTTACCAAAAACAGCTCAATTAAAATAAAATGGCTAAGTGTAATAATTATGAAAAGTTCTTTAATTTTATCAGGTTTGGAAAAGATTACTAAGGCTACGTAGGAGAAAATGCTTCCAAGATTTGAATATCCTTTTTTATCCCCTCACCTGGGAGATAGGATTGAACAGCTATAATTTTATAATCAGAGTGGAACTGAAAGTTTATTTTCAACATTCTTGCCTCAAAGTTTATACAAATGTACCAGTGCTGGTATACTTAGTCACCTCTCTTTATTTTCAGAGAAAGGAAGAATTGCTCCTGGAGCATTTACATACACTGTAGAACTCTACAGTACATTCTTTTCATTGACACTGGCAGCGACATTCTAGTCTAAATGTTAAAGGAAAATCTTCACTAAAGACAACTAATAATACAACAATAACAACAAGAAGAAACAAACCCAACCTTCTTCCTATATGCAACTCTTTCAAATTTCAATGCCACAAATGCAAACAGATGGGAAGTTGGTCTTCCTCTGTCAAAACGAATGGATTGGAGTAGATGAGGACTAAAATCCTGGCCTGCTCAAAAATTCTATACTTCTATTACTTTCAATGAGTTATTGGTCGATTTCTGCCTTTAGTAATTTTCTACTAAAGATATTGGAAATAAATTTTTAAATGTTTAATTAAAAATATATTAAATTTGGGCCTCCCTGGTGGCGCAAGGGTTAAAACACAACCTATGAAGCTATCCGCAGCCACTGCAGCACAAGTTCGATCACCAGCCAGGGATTGAACTGGGGTATAGGCCAGAGGTGTGGGGGTGAGAGAATTCACCAGAGACAGAGTGGGGAACAGAACAGGCAGACTGACTGAAATACACTGCTGAGAGGAGCAGTGGGCGAGTCAGGAGAGGTCTGCTGCGCCATGTGGGTAGTTCCTTGGCCAGGGATCAAACAGCTCCAGTGGCTGCGTATTGCTTCATAGGTTGCGTCTTAACCCCTTGAGCCACCAGAGAGGCCCTATATATTAAATTTAATTTAAAAATGTAAGAGATGACAACAAAGATGTCCTTAATAATCTGCCCTGTAATTCTGCAGGACGAACTGTATCCAATCAATATGTCAGAGAAAAGTGGAAACCATAGGATTTATAGCAAGAGGTATGAAAAACTATGCAAATAACTGAAAAGAATCACATCCCATTAAATGATGTCAGCATTTAATAAACCCAAAGCTCAAAGCAAAATCTACTTAATATATTTTTTTTTTTTTGCCACTCAAAGTCCTTGATCAAAGAGTCAGTATACCCAGAGGAAAATTTGGTCCTATTTTCTATCAGTGTACAAATTCTATTATGGTGATTGAGTAAAACTGTACTTCCTATTAAATGGCCTGGATCTACTGTCAATTGACGTTTATTATATAATCTTATGAAATCAGCATCATAGTTACCCTAAAATAAATATATTTATCCAAACCTACAAGGATAGTAAGGTTGTATGATCAAAGATGTAAATACACATCTCTAAAAGATTCTAAATAAAATTTTCTGAAGACTCTTAATCTGCCACTAAATAATACTATTTTGATATTTAGCAAACACACATACCTATATTGAAAGCTATGAACCTTACTCTATTTTCCTTAATGACACCTGAAAAGAATCATCAGCGAAAAAGTTTTGTATTTCAAGATCACGTTAATTTTCATAATATTGTCATAATGCCTCTGACTTCTATTTTATTTTATTTTAAAGATTTATTTATTTATACAAGAACCAGGGTATAGTCCAGATTCACAGGAGGGTGAGAGGATTCACCAGAGACAGAGTGGGAAACAGAACAGGCAGACTGATGAAATACACTGCTGAGGGGAGCAGCGGGCGAGACAGGAGAGGTCTGCCGCACCATGTGGGACCCTCACCGGGCTGGCCAGCGGGATCAAACCGACGCTGCAGACACTGCAGACAGCTTCACAGTGCCTCGCTCAACTGCCTGCGCCAACAGGGAGGCCTGACTTCTACTTTAAAAAAGTGCACTTTCGGGCCTCCCCGGTGGTGCAGCGGTTGAGCGCTGGATTGCGAAGCTGCCCGCAGCCTCTGCAGTGCCAGTTCGATCCCTGGCTGCTCCCCGGCCACCGGAGGAGGGTCCCACATGGCGCGCAGACCTCTCCTGCCGCCCGCTGCTCCCCTCAGCAGTGTACTTCGGTCCTTCTGCCTGCTCTGCTCCCCGCTCTGGCTCTGGTGAATTCTCTCACCCTCCCTTGCTTCTGACTGTACCCAGTGCTTGTATAAATAAATAAATCAATCTTTAGGGGGGAAAAAAACGTGCACCTTCTAATCCATAAATGCTCCATGAATTTACTACCTCTTCTTTTTTTTAAAGATTGATTTATTTATTTATACAAGCACTGGGTACAGTCAGAAGCGTGGGAGGGTGAGAGAATTCACCAGAGCCAGAGTGGGGAGCAGAGCAGGCTGACTGAAGTACACTGCTGAGGGGAGCAGCAGGCGGCAGGAGAGGTCTGCGTGCCATGTGGGACCCTTCTCCGGTGGCTGGGGAGCAGCCGGGGATTTAACCGGTGCTGCAGAGGCTGCGGGCAGCTTCGCAACCCAGAGCTCAACCACTGCGCCACCGGGGAGGCCCTACTACCTCTTTTCAAAATGAGTAAGAGAGATTATAGTGTAATGCTCCTCCAGCAATTCCTAGCTCCTTTTCTTTTATGAGTCCCCGATTCTGATTTTGTCAAACATGCTACATGTTACCTAACTGCTCAAATTTCCCTTTAAAAAGCAGGATTGATATATGACAATGTTCAGCAAGAAATTATTGTAATACCAGGTCGAGCAATTCAGTTGTTCCCTTAACTTGCGCAGCTCTATCAATGACTTTCACTAGGCTTTTGAAATAGCAGAAATAGTCACATCCTCTTTCTTAAAGAAAATCACTTTTAATTAAGAGAGAAAAAAAATCATATACAGAAAAATTTTTACTTTAAACTAGATCAAATGCAGACATGGGTTAGTTTGGGGAACTAGCAGACACTGGAAATAGAGTAAACTATTGAACAAAAAATGGGCAGACAGTTTTGCTGGTACTGTAATATAGAAATCACAGAATTATAAAACTGAAAATGGTCTTAAAGGTCACTAGCAAATGTCTCATTCAGTGTAGGGCCACCCTCCATAACAGGCTTGGATAATACAGTGGTCACTAGCTCTTTTCAGGAATAGAGAGCATGTCACCTAACAAATCACCAAGTTTAATGTTATCAGTTTAAACTATTACCAAGATCTACATAGTGACTTAGCATGTTTTACTTGAACCTTGGTTTTCGGTTAATATCTACTCAATAAAAATAAAGTTAGATTTGGTTTGCTCTTGCTGCAATCATATTACTACCTAAACAAGTATCAGATGAAGTCTCTTCAGATGGAGATCACAGATTCTAGGAGATTATATCTTCAGTTATTACTGATTGAGGCAGAAATATGGAGTTAAATTCAACATGAAAGAAACTTTGAAACTAATAATGCATAATAAAATTTAAAAAATTAGTATACTGGTACAAATCAGAGAGCTTAAATTTAAGGTTAAGAGATTGGGGTTAATATCAAATAGTAATAAATATCTAGGTAATTGTAAATTTTATCAAGAAAATACCCTTGAGAAAGATATAATACCTTTTCTTTGGCCAAATGTTAATGATTAAAGAAAAGAGATGTATATCTCTTCAGAGCTCTCTTTCTAGTCTTAACAGTCCCAGCCTTCGAACTAGTCAACACTGTAAACCCCATGTGCTCTCCCCTCAAGAACCTTTTAATTAGATGTTCAACTAGATTATTTCTAAGTTGAGTCCTCTTCCTTTTAGCTGTAATTCCTCTACTACCACTACAAAAATGACTTACAGGGAGAAATTCTTATTCCTGGTACCATGGCAGAAAAATAGTAGAATTAGAAACATTCCTGAGAAATTATGATTTTGGGTATTCTAGTAATTGTCAAAAAAATCTAGTAGACTTTCCAGTAAATGCCAAAAGTCGAGTGAGTGGACTTTATGAGTCCACTTTATGAGTCCTTAATCCCAACTGGTCCTTCTTCTCATTTGAGTATTCAGATTAAACTGATGGTTAGTCAAAGCAGTAAGGAAAAACTTTACTTGAGAGTGTAGGTATTTTTAATTTTGAAAATTCCTGCAACAAAAATCCTAAGCAGCCTGTGACAGAAAGGCCCCTGATACCAGTCAGATGTTGATAATGCATTTCTAAGTTGCATGACCCCAAGGACTTACACATCCTCATGTGAAAAGTTTGATTAATTCATTATATGACAGGCTATTTTCCTAATTCAAAACTGTGAGCCTATGCTCTGCTAATGTCCAGTGATATTCAATGATATTTACCTGATACGCTGTGCTGCTGGTAATTGTAGGAAGATGGAATTGCACCAATAGGAAGCTGTGGCTTTGGATTTCCTGGTGGTACTTCATCATCCTCCTCCCCAAAATGATGAACTTTCTCGTATTTTTCTAGGTAACTGAAATAGGAAAAACAGCACAGCAGAGTTTTAAAAAGATTTACGTCTTATTTTTTAACTTCTACCATATATATTTGTATTCTTTTCCTAGAGGCACTAAATAAAAATAAAGGTGACATAATCTTCTTATAGTCATGGAATTGTTGTTTTGCACCACAGGTACAGAAGATAATTCAATGCAATGGTACTCAGTGTTTTTAAATTGTCACAAAAGACCACACCACTACTCATAGAAATATAAATTAGTGATATCAAGTAACAGCTATATGTAGACAAATGGCAGTATTAACTGATTTTATGAAAATTATGCATGATTCATTGTAAAAACCAAGTGAAAATGAGATTTTCTAACCCCTGGTCTCTCCATAACTCACCAGAGATAACAACAGTTCATCCACAAACTTCAGTATATTTTCTGTGTATACTTTTATTTAACATATTTCAAAGATTTGAGCATGTCATTCTTTTTTAAACCATGTATATAGTATGTGGTCCAGCTGATATATAAAAACTTAACTGTAACTCTAGTGATACTTAGTTATTTTCAGTTTTGTTCATTGCTATTATAAATCACGCAGCCATGTTTAATCTGTGCACTTGTTTGAATTGCCTCTATGGATACACACCAGAAATGGTATACTCATTTTAAAGAGCAGTAAGGTCACAGTCTAATCGGACAGGAAAAGTTTAACACATTTTGAACAACAAGATTATTCCTGTATTCCCCCACTGTATAGCCATAACTGGGTATGATCAATCTTAATAGTAATTAGGATTAAATTTCCAAATTCATATCCACCCAACCAGTTTATTATGATTCCTAATTAAAATTTTAAGATGGCAGAAAAAGTTGGTCAAGTCCCTATCAAACACAACACTGTAATGAACCTGTTAATACACTTCTCAAATAAGCTAAACTGATTATCACAGCAATTTATAAACTACAGAGAAGTTCTAGATGTGATTACATTACAGATCAATCCTGCATTTACCTACTCTTTTGCTTCATTAGTTAAAGACAGTTGAGATGAGGTATGAGGGTATCAGTGAGCATATAAAATGATCTCAATATTCTGTTTTTAGAACCAAGCCTTAACTTTCAAGGTGGGATGTATGGAAGCTATACTTTTGCAAATATAAAAATTAATAAAATGAAAAATCATCATCATTCCTCATTTTCCCCTTTTCGCTTTACAAGGCACAATAATTCACATCTTTGAGCCTTCCTTTCAAATTATCTGCTTAAGTTCACTTTGAGCAAGGGACTTTTTCTTACCTGGCAGTTGGATAGCTAACGAATCCAACCTTTTCTTTATTGTTGTAGATACAGGACATTATAGCAGAGACATATGAACAGATAAAACCCTCGACGCTGAGTGTGCACCTGAACAATTTTTACCATGATCCTGGGGATGCCTCCGACAGAACCTACAGTCTAAACACATAAAACAAAAGGAAGGCCAAAAAAGAGGCAGTCTCTCCCCAGGACAAACCCTCAGTGGACTTAAGGTCAATAAATTAACCTATTCTTTCTGAATTTCTAATGCAGAAAAACACAAACAGCTAGTTGCTCAAAGATTATGTGGCAAATAAGAGATTATCTGTTTCACATGAAATAACTCAGGCAATAGTACTAATAGAGGTATTTTAGAAAGTATGGTCTTAC